TTTTTAGGAATTCTTAAACCGTATGATCTTATGCCCGACATAAGTCAAATTACGTATTATATCTGAGAAGGGGTTAGACAAGCCAAATCCCCCTCGTGCCCTACGGGGCATGGGGTATTGGAGGGACTGGTGTTTGTAGGTTGGTGTTGGTAAGATTCATTCAACCTAAGTGGCCAGCTCAACTCTTGGATATGTTTAGAATGGTTGTAGGGACACAATCTGAAATACTATACAGGGAGCCTTAATTCTTTGTTGGAACTCAAGAACTATTCATGTCAGCTATAGTAATCGCAGTCGTGGACGCACCCTTGGTGTACTTAATCCGGAACTTTCAGAATAAAATGTAATAGATGAAGTTTAACACCAGCCAACACTGAATTCTTCTATCAGTATTGTCAAAAAAGTATAAACGAGAACTCATCTAAGATATTTTCGTCAGAATTCGCTTAACTCTGCTTTTTTTAAATTATATTTTCTCTAAGATTCATCTTCAGAAATTGCCGGCATTCCGCCTCATTATTTTAATTTGCCGAGAAATTAACAAATTTCAGTGCAGTGTACGCAAATAGACCAAAAAAACCCCTAAAAGTGTCCGCATGTCTTGATCTCAATATCCTGAAATACAGGCTTGCCCAGGTGCCACCAAATAATTTAATTAAAGGGAAGTGATGACTTCTCTTACTGTTAAATTATGTAATGACGCATTGATCGCTAAGAAAGTTTACTCCACTTAAGTTAAAATTGTGGTGAACTATATTTTAGCCTAAAACCCTCACCTCCTTATCATTAGATAGGTACTTGGGCTTATTATTATTAGCATTCCTTCTTGATGAATTTTGTGTACGTTTTTTATGTTTGCTGTGGTATTCACTTGACTAAATATATGAAGTTTGAATAATGCACAAATGAGGGTGAACTTACGAACGATAGAGCCATAATTTCTCTCTTCCGTATGAGAATCTTTGCAAGATCTCAAATGACCTTGCGGGTTTTAGTATCACTTATTGCTGGAATATTCTTATTTCCTTATTTCTTAACATAATTTGATAAACTTTACCCTATATTGACTATACACGCAGAATATTCACGCCCTCAACCACATGGGATGGACAATGCTTCACAATGCGGCCTTTCATGGACGGCTTGGATGCATCAAACGTCTGCTTCAAGCAGGACTCTCTGCAGAAGAGCAATCAAAAGATGGAAACAATTCACGTATAACCTCGATTCTTTTGTTTAACTGATATGAGGTTCCGCATTTTCATGCAGTTCACTTGCCTAGATTCCAGGTACAATGGAATTCTACGTATATAAAAGGCGTGAGACGTTTCCGAAACCCACGATAAAGGTACAAAAATCATAGACAAAAATAAGGACAAGATGTCTGTGCATTAAAGAATGTTCCTAACTTTATGCCATCAAATTATCATGCAGAGAATTGGAGATAGCATTAATTCAATTTAAATACTATCTTGTACGTAAGTATACTTGAGCCTACTTAAACACCAGCCGGGAATTTCCATCGCATCATGCAAATCATGATTATACGCACCTGAATTTGTCAACTGAACACAGGTGGGGTGGCGCGTGTTGAAACTGCGTTTATCCACCATAGCTAAATTGTTTTTATTAGATTTGAAACGTCAAGTCACATAAATCTAAGAAATAAATCGTAAATAAACTGAATTAAAGGGCAGAATATTATACTGATATGTAGATGAAATTAATTCATCACATCATATTGACCAACGACTTGGGGTAATCTTTTGAATTTACTCTTCATTTCACAAAATTTTTTATTTTGGATCGTTAACCCTTGAGACGTTTTCCAGTACCTATAAATGATTAGATGTGGAAAGCACTTTTAAAGCAATTTCAGAATATTTATAGTGATTCGTGATAGTGAGTATACATGTACCTAAAGGAAAAATAAGTGCGTTCAACTTTTATGTTTCCTGCGCTGCAAAGGCTCTGAGTCTTTGAAAATTACGTTTAATTTTTTAACTGAATGACCAAATGTTTGCATAAACATGTTTTAAGGAAAAGTATGTGATACAATAGAAATTGCGCATTGACGTCACTCTCCTTCTTGGGCGGTCTGTCAAGAGCAGTCTTAGTTACCATTTGAGCTAGGATAAACATTCTGAACTGTGTTGCTAATCTCAAATTACGAATCAAAATAAACCAAATGAGTTGTAAAGTTCTCCCGTAGGATTTTCATTACCTAGCTGAGTGCTTAAATTAACAAAATAAACTCCGCACTTTCTCACCTTTTGCAATCTTCCTCGCATCTCCTATTGGTAGTTCATCTTGCTGCCAAAGAGGGTCATCTCCCAGCTGTCCAATGCTTACTCAATTCCTCAGTCAACTGGCTTTCTCTTCTTGAAGCTCGAAATGATATGGGTGCGACAGCGCTTGATCTCGCCAGTGAGTTACGAAAGCGCCATGTCGTTGCCTATCTAGAACAGGTTAAATGGGGTCGGTGCCTACCAACTCCAAATGACTGTATGAACCTGGAATCTTCCGCGCATCCAGGCCACGTCGCCGTAATACAAGGGGATCTGCCAATGCTAAAGCGTCTGTTTGACGAAGGCATCATAAAGCTTAATGAAGTCGACGCGCAGGGTGCCACCCTCCTGCATAAAGGTAACGCAATCATATTTCTACTTTTACATGAGCTGGACTAATATACATTTTTAAGCTAAGCAAAAGGCAATAGCAATTGGTTTGCTTCCGTCTCCATCTAACTCACTTTAGATACACTTTTTAACTGCAATAAAAAACGCCCGCGTTAAAGCTACTTTTTAAGCTAAGCGACAGGCAGAACAAAGGGGCATAGTGGTTTGCTTCCGCCCCCATCTACCTCACTTTAGGTACACTTTTTAACTGCAATAAAAAATGCCCGCGTTAAAGCTACCGAAAACACGAACGCATAGTTTTTTTAAAATTCTTTGGAGTCCACAGATGCTGCCAGCTAAGCTTCGGTACGGGCAGAACGACGAAGCTATTGAGCCTAGCTTTCGAAATCAAACGTAAATCTCTTCAAATATGCATGCTTTTCATCCTTTGCCATACTGCGGAAATGGATGGTTGTGTCCCGCCTTTTAAAATGCACATTAGTAGCTACTTAATAGGGAGAAGTAACCGGCATAAAACACTCCTCAGCAGCGTGCACTCCTGAAAAACGACTAGAGTGCTAGAGCGAGGCAGCAAATGACGGCTCATAACGAAAATACGTATACCACTTCGTAAGATTTGATTTACAGATGGCGTTTCATTGAACCATGACGTAGATTATAAACCAAAGCCTTGAAAACCAATAGTCATTTATCATGAGACACTTGAAACACTGACTAGATTTTTTTAATCATTCAAATGATAGACAATACCTGGGCAAGTTAAAAATACTGATTTGAAGGACTTTCTGGACCGTGTTAATTCCTGCGCTGTTGTTTGCCAGTTTTTGAATCAACAGCTTTTCAGGCCCTCACCTAACTTTCTGTCGGAAAAGAATCTCAACTTAAGCAACATATATTCTTCCACTGATTTTTGTAGATGCGATCCAATTTTACAAAAATAAAACACTATTGAAAGTTTAGACCACTTTACCTTTCCTTTCTAAAAAGGATTACTTATGTATTTTTAAGGTTCTCTAAGTTCTGTTTGCGTCGAAAGACAGCAGACATAATTGCTGTGCAGGATTAAATTTAGAGACGCCTGAACTTGACGACAAATTTGCATAAATAAGTAGGAATTTTGCTTCGTAACGTACTTTACGCATGACATTGGAAATAACTTGGGATTCAATTTCCTGATAAGCGGTTTGGCAACCCCATCTACACAAAGTTCCCACTTTAAATGCGCGCCAAAATTTTTTTTCATATTGTCAACTTCGCCAAGTAAGCTTCTTTCAGAGGCACATTACCTTAACGGCACTTTGGCAACTATACAATATTAATCGATATAGCACTAAGAAAAGCCATATAAGTTCAGTATAATTCAGTATATTTAGGTAAGTGGGCAATGACTTTGAAGACCCTATTGAAAAAAGTAGGCGTGAAGTATTTAACATAAAATATGTTACTGTAAAACAGTGAGCAACATATAAACATGTATACTTCTTAACTGTATGTGTGAGCGAAACGTTCCTATGTGCTAATGGTGCTTTCCTGTGCATATGAACGGTATCTGTTAAGTAAATATACACATAAAGTTTGCGTTTGAATGCATCCGTCGAGTTCGCCATTATGAATTCCTCGGGCAGTCCGTTCCTGTGTTTGCCTATACAGTCCTAGGACCTCCTTGTCGGCAATTTAAAGGTGTAATCAGACGTTAGAAATGCGCTACGAAAGTTCCCTTAAAAGAAAAAAAATAGTGGGCATCACATTAATGTTTGGGAGAGTCAGTATTTGCCACATCTTCCACCCCAATCCTAGATGCCTCGGAATGTCGTCGGGTCTTCCTAGTAAATGTCAGGCAGATGGCTTAACGTAGGTGGACCATTCCTCTGAAATATGCCAGAATTCCTCCATCCATATTTTGAGCACTTAAGGCCGTGATAAACGGTAATCTTACATAGTATGGCGGCCGGCGATGTTGAGGACGACACACGCTTGGTCAAATAAGGCACTTGAGATAGTTTTCAACCTACAAAGCAGGGCTGAGCGGAGTCGTTAAGCAGCACACGAAATACGCACGGACGTTATGTATGCAATTTCATGAAATGTTAACTGAAGTTCTGAACTGCGTATTCTTTTCGAAAATATTACCTAATATGATTGAAAGGTCAACTTGCAGCGTACTCCCAACGTACATATGTTGCATCAGGATGTCAGCCTTTGAACGAGCTTCTGTCTGACCGCCCGCACAAACGACACTCTATAGATATGACTACCTAAGTTGTGTGAATTGGGCCCACTGATTGCCGACGTCTTTATGAATTCAAATATTTACCGAAAAAATATCGAAGACGGACACACAAATATACTTTCTTGTACTATTTTTATAAAAATTTCTTTCAAATTTTATATTCGAATAAAGGGCAGCCTTCGGCATTTAAATGCTTACTACAGTTGCCAAATAATTTAGAATTCGACTTGCCGTAAAATTGCATTCAGAGTTTCCGAACTACCTGTTATATACTTTTTTAAAGGCCACTCACCCTATTCTCTGCGCTATTATGAAGACATCAAATATTACTCATAAAAATTTTGAAATGGATGCGGACCCAGGTCTATACTTTAAAAACAACATTTGTAAATGGAAAGAATCGCTGATTTATGAACGGGTACTTCATGATCTTAAAAAGTATCGTAGTTATAAACCTTTTTAAAACCGACACATATCGTATCTTCACGTATAAATGTGCGGAAGACATAATCTACTATCAAAGAATAATTTTCTACAAGTTTGCTCAAAGTATATTGGCCTTCATAAAGGCATCAAAAATTGATGAGAAGAATGCATAAACTTATGGCATCCATGTGTACAAAGTATACTTGTGCAGTCTAACAAAAAGGAGGTTATTCAAAATCCCGCATCGTGACATCTCGATATTAGTCTGGACGATAATGAATATGGTGATCCTACTCGAATCGAAAACAGATTTTGCAATTCCGGTTCACGAAGGGAAGGTTTTAAACGTACAACATTCGCGTTATGATAAACAAATAAAAAGATCGAATCATAAAGAACGGATAAGGACTGTAACGCTGTCCACCACCGGTACCACGCCTGCAATTGGTCACGTAATCGCAAGTATCAACTAGCTTCTGGGTCAGCCAAGTTCAGGTGCCATAGACTGTTAGTTGATCAAGCAACCAGTGACTCATTCACGCTCACACCACGCTAGCAGACAAACCCCCTTGCAGATTCCGAGCCTGCCACGCGTCTGGGCTTCAGACCACCACTGAGTTTATGTATAAAATGAACAACTACTGGTTTTACCCCTTCTCTTCCTATACGGAACTGGACGCGATAATTGCAGTGCTCTGAGCACACCCACGGCTTAGACTCCTAAGGGTCATACTTGGAAGGAGTGTGTTACGTTTAAAAATGACCGGTCGGGAGTGAAAGGCTGTCCTGTCATGTCTATTATAGTTTCGGTGGATAGTGCAGCCTTGTGAACATCTGCAGGTGAGGGTCGTGGGGGTGTGCTGACGATGAAGGGAGTGCAAGCAAGGGCGCGAAAGATGTCAGCGGTAAGACTGAAGAGGACACAAGCCACAAATGACATTCCATTTTTGAATTATGAGCCATGCCTTATGAGTTTTTTCACTTTATGCTCTTTTTGCTCAGTTACCCCTGCTGGCTCGTGTTAACTGACATCACCACATGTGAGTATATTAATTGAAACAAGCGAGCAGTCGCCTAAAATTATGTAAAAGACTTCTTTGAAATGTTCGGCTGTGCCGATGCATTTCTTAACTACTATGTACCAATAGGCGGTTCAAAGGCATTTGCCTATATTTGTCTTAATAAACTTGACTCGACTTGACTTTCGCCGATACCTGGTGTAGTGGTCTAAGTAGTGGGCGTACTCGAATCAATACAATTATCAGGCCAAAATCGCAAGTTGTAGGCAAAAAGCATAAGTCACCTGTGGCAGGGCTTTATTGCATCTATAACTCTCAGTTGCAGTCTCAGGAGGCTGGCTGGGTAGTAGCTCTTGTTGG